ATAACCAAATGCTAAGTGTAAAAAGAATGTGATCTATTTTTTGAGTATGTGCATCTGCCAATGTTGTTGGCAGTTTTGATACTATTTCCACATGTTTACATTTGTGCAAGAAATTGCTTCCATTTCCTTCGATCTACTTTTTAAATAAAGACCCAGGTAAGAATAGGTCTTCAGCAACCTATGCTTGCCGTAAGAGGCGACTAACAGGATTGGGTAGTCAGGCTCGCCGACTTGGTCGATGCATAACATCATATTCCAATTGCGTAGTTCGATGCTCTTGGTGTCAATCACTGGATAATCTGGTCCAGACTGGATTATTTACAGACCTCCGTCATATGGCTGGAATAATGCTGAGTGCGGCGTTAAACAAGAAACTATTTTTAAATAGACCTACCCTATGCAAATGTATCAACTGTATTGCCCAATACTCAAAATAAATAATATTTTTTTCCACAACAGCGTTGTGTTATTTGTGGTTAATTTAATTATGCTCCATCATGCCTTTCAGTAACATCATAATTATGCGTTTGTGAGGCATCACATATGGCGGGGAACTTTGATGCTCTGCATCAATGTTTTCTTGTTAAACTTAGGCTAGGGTTAAATGATTTGATGTGCAACAGGGGTCGCTTCTCCTCTATTCCTAAGGATATGCGTTTTTGTCCATTCTGCGAAAACCATATTGAAAACGAATTACACTTTTTGTTTATATGTCCAATTTACGACAACCTAAGATTGAAATATATGCCTGATATCACTAAGAACCACTATTCCATGAACAAAATACTATCTTTTAATGGTATCCCTAGTCAAAAATTAACTAAGATATTACAATACATCTATCAAAGTCTACGAGTGCGTAGTAAATTACTTAGTGAATCCGATATGTCCAGAAATAATTAGTTCTTTTGAAACTTTCGCATCTAGATCAGGAGTATATACATTTCATTTTTGTCTGTTTGTTTCTACTAGAAATGCATATACATTTAAATTGTCAAATTGTCATGACATGATATTACTGATAGATTCTTTTGTATTGAACGTCGTGCTATGCTATTCCATTCCTTTTGTATTTTATACTACTACTGCCACTGTGGTTATTACCACTGTTATTACAATACCTCTATTACATGTCAAGCATCATATTAGTTATCCAATAATTATATAATGCGCTGTACAGCTGTAAATGATATTGTTTATCTGTATGTGTATATGGGCCAATGGCCTTTCATACAATAAAGATTGATTGATTGAGTGAGTGAGTGAGTTGGGTTTAACGCCGCCGTTTACATTATAACAGTTATAGCGCGGCTTGTCACCTTAATGTGAGAGGAAAGCCCAAAGTGATGAAGGCCTCAGACGTGAAACCCACGAGCATGGGTATGGTGCTGACAAACCTGGAAATATAACCAGGGCGAGCTGGGATTCGAACCCACAACCATAGGTTTCTGGCATGCCCATGGGACGCAACTCTGCACTGCGAATCGCGGCGCCTTCGACGAATGAACCACCCGGGCCCCCCTTCACTACCTGAGACTGCTGCTCTTTTAAAACATCGAAATTACGATTTTTTTTTCACATAACTTCGATTATTCTCTCATTATTTCAAGTTTATTTTATAAAATTCGAAATTTCAACTTTTCTCCCCGTTACCTTTTTTCGCACTTCTTCGATTATTTTCTCGTAATTTCGATTGTCTTTCTCGTTATTTCAAGATTATTTTCAAACATCGAAATTATGATTTTTTCATCGTTACTTTGATTATTTTCTGGAATTTTAGTGAGGAAAAACGCGTCATTTCGAGTTTTTGATAAACACTTGAAATAAGACAATCATAAAATGAACGAATAATTTAAATAACGAGAAATTTAGATGTAAAAATAAATAAAAAATATGCTGCCAAAGTCGCACCATTAATCTTTCGTACAACCGAGAATACTCTTTCAACGAAGATGTCAGTCAGCATGGTACGACTCTACGACCTGACTGAACCGTTCACGACGTTTTGGGATAGACATGTAGAGTAAATTTTAAAATTGTACGCATCAGTGACAAAACTGATTTCTGACTTTCTGATTTTGATACTTTGACTTGTACCGTACAATCCGGTGTTTCGTTGTGCCTTTGCTTGTGTTCGTGACGGGTGACGTACGCTCACCTTTTCCCGAACACCTCCCATGTTTATGACACAGTCGGAATCGTCCAATGGAAAGAGATGTCTTATGATTATGTAAAGGTTTTTGTCGTACAGATTTAGGATCGAGAGCTATAGAAGTGAGTGTTTTTGCTCTTTTTTTTGGAGAGACAGATATGCTATTGAGGAGAGCCAGATGATGGTTAGAATGAATGAGACAGTCTGCAGGATGTGACTCAAGGCTCATCGTGGGTATGTGGGTCAGCTGCTTCCGTCCTGGTTGCTGATGCTGAGGAAGCATTCATAGGACCCATGATCATCAATCGGTCAAGGTCATCTGTAGAGGGCTGCACCAAGCGACCCCTGATCACAGGTTGTTGAGAGGAACAATTTATTACAAGTACCTTGCCATAGAATCGATATTTCAAACATATATGATGAATATATATATATATACGTATATAATATCTAGGTTTAAATAGGTCTTCGGGAACCCATGCTTGTTTAAGGGGCGACTAACGGGATCGGGTGGTCAGGCTCGCTGACTTGGTTGATGCATGTCATCGTTTCCAAATCACTGATTTAAGTACCAAACAAACAAACACATAGTATTAACATAGCTATTCACTATACAACAATACCAACTTTTATGCGGAGCTGGTCGTACGGTATTTTCTTTGTCTTTCAAAGGGTCAACATTTTGTGTACAGATTTAAGCAAACACATGTTGCTTCATGCGAAGATTTCTGTAATTTAGTGTAAGATAACTCTCTTCTCTTTCGACTTTGATTGGATAACAACCTTTTAATGTTGAAAGTCATCAACAGACTGATGATCATGTGTGCCCTACACCATTTACATACTGTATTTACACTTTATTTACATACCTTATTTACATACCTTATTTACATAGTTTATTTACATACCTTATTTACATAGTTTATTTACATACTTTATTTACATACCTTATTTACATACTGTATTTACACTTTATTTACATACCTTATTTACATACCTTATTTACATACCTTATTTACATACTGTATTTACATAGTTTATTTACATACCTTATTTACATACCTTATTTACATACCTTATTTACATACCTTATTTACATACCTTATTTACATACTGTATTTACACTTTATTTACATACCTTATTTACATACTGTATTTACACTTTATTTACATACCTTATTTACATACCTTATTTACATACCTTATTTACATACTGTATTTACATACCTTATTTACATACCTTATTTACATACCTTATTTACATAGTTTATTTACATACCTTATTTACATACCTTATTTACATACCTTATTTACATACTGTATTTACACTTTATTTACATACCTTATTTACATACCTTATTTACATACCTTATTTACATACTGTATTTACATACCTTATTTACTTACCTTATTTACATACCTTATTTACATACCTTATTTACATACCTTATTTACATAGTTTATTTACATACCTTATTTACATACCTTATTTACATACCTTATTTACACACCTTATTTACACACCTTATTTACATACCTTATTTACATAGTTTATTTACATAGTTTATTTACACACCTTATTTACATACCTTATTTACACACCTTATTTACACACCTTATTTACATACCTTATTTACATACCTTATTTACATACCTTATTTACATACCTTATTTACATAGTTTATTTACATACTTTATTTACATACTGTATTTACACTTTATTTACATACGTTATTTACATACTGTATTTACATACTGTATTTACACTTTATTTACATACGTTATTTACATACTGTATTTACATACTGTATTTACACTTTATTTACATACCTCATTTACATACCTTATTTACATACTGTATTTACACTTTATTTACATACCTTATTTACATACCTTATTTACATACTGTATTTACACTTTATTTACATACCTTATTTACATACCTTATTTACATACTGTATTTACACTTTATTTACATACCTTATTTACATACCTTATTTACATACTGTATTTACACTTTATTTACATACCTTATTTACATACCTTATTTACATACTGTATTTACACTTTATTTACATACCTTATTTACATACCTTATTTACATAGTTTATTTACATACCTTATTTACATACCTTATTTACATAGTTTATTTACATACTTTATTTACATACTTTATTTACATACTTTATTTACATACTGTATTTACACTTTATTTACATACCTTATTTACATAGTTTATTTACACAGTTAATTTACATAGTTTATTTATATACTTTATTTACATAGTTTATTTACGCACCTAAGTTCATTTTCATGTGAAGGCATAGTAAATTTACACATACACACGGATGTATAGTTACACATGTGCTAGATTACTTTCGTGGTTAAATGTTGTACATGTGAACGGGGTATTAGATATGCATACGTGATCAATAGTTGATACGTGTATATCTGCGTGTGCGTGCGTGCGTAAGTGTGTGTGTGTGTGTGTGTGTGTGTGCGTGCGTGCGTGCGTGTCGTGCGTGCGTGTGTGTGCGTGTGTGCGTGTGCATTCTGATCAAATTATTGACTTGGCTTGACTTGACATGGGAATAGGGAGATATAATATACAGAATCAGTAACAGTCACGTGACGGACCGTTGCGAGAACCTGGGGCTGTCGACACATATGGTCGTTATCAACACTGAGCCAGGGCGTGCAGTACGCCCGTTCCGCTGTTTACTTGTAACCACTGCCATTTGAACAAAAGCATATTTACAGAAATTAGCAATGTTAACAAATGTACATGTAGTAGCTCGCAAGGCTCCGGTCGGGGCAGCAAACACAGAACAGGCTACACACCAATGCATAAACGGCTCATCCAATTTAATATGCTATGCATACTATAAACATTATTTATACTTGATATTTTACATTAATGTATCAAACAAGCTAAGCAGTAGTTACACTTACCCTTGTGGTTTTAAGCCAAATTACATCTAAAAATACTTAAGACGGTTACATAAATACCGCCTCTACAAATTGCCATGATATAAACATAATATAAACACAATATACACAAAATATACACATAACTTACCACTGTGTGGCAATGAGCTGGCAACTATGTTAGCGTTGGAAGATCACAGGCATCGTAACATCGATTGCCATATTCTTATAGAGATCCTGAACACAACAAACATATCATCCACTGATTTGAATGCAATCCACAGAACCACTGATTCCTTCAAGTGTAAGTGACCAACTAATTTAGCAAAGTCAGCTGAAAACAGAAGAAACCTTTTACTTACATAATACAGAAGCTGGGAAGGAAAACAAAGCAAGACGCTTGTGCTGTTGGTGACTGTATAGGTGAAAGTGGCTAGTGTTATGTAAGTAGTTATGTAAGTACTGGAGCTGGTCTAATTGTTGTTGTTTTTATACTGCTCAAGTAATCTAGCTTGAGACAGAAACAGGCTAAAACAGAAACAAGACAATTAAAAGACTTTACTAAAATATTTACAAAATAGCAATAAAATCAACTCGGCCACATACACATAAAAGATGCGTGTCTTTATCAGTGACGTGTCGAATACGTTATATATGTAAACAGTTGCTTCAGACAATTCTACGCTGTCGCCTTCTTGACAGTCTGCCGTATGGTGGTGGGGGACCCAGTTTGTCCCCCGAGACAGTCTGCCGTATGGTGGTGGGGGACCCAGTTTGTCCCCCGAGACAGTCTGCCGTATGGTGGTGGGGGACCCAGTTTGTCTCCCGAGATGTTCTGTGGGTGGTGGGGGACCCAGTTTGTCTCCCGAGATGTTCTGTGGGTGGTGGGGGACCCAGTTTGTCTCCCGAGACAGTCTGCCGAATGGTGGTAGGGGACCCAGTTTGTCCCCCGAGATGTTCTGAGGGTGGTGGGGGACCCAGTTTGTCTCCCGAGATGTTCTGTGGGTGGTAGGGGACCCAGTTTGTCTCCCGAGATGTTCTGAGGGTGGTGGGGGACCCAGTTTGTCCCCCAAGATGTTCTGTGGGTGGTGGGGGACCCAGTTTGTCCCCCGAGATGTTCTGTGGGTGGTAGGTGACCGTGCAGACCCACTGTACAACACGTGGTGTCTCTGAGATCTATGTTCACATGAAGAAGTTGGCACCCGGTAGATTGTGATCATGTATATCGGCACGTTGCGAAAAGTCCTCGGAGTGTTGAGATGTCGGCCAATCAACAGCACAGCTCAATCGACGTGCTGCTTTGCGCGGTCAGAGCCTGTGTCTGCAGTGTGGACACACAAGAGATAGCACGACGTCGTTAATGGCGGTTGTTACTGATGATAATGTTGTTGAAGATTACACCGCATTCGGCTGGTTGTTGGGGAGGCTTAGCACACGAACCACCGTGCTAGAACCACACACGCCATATGAAGTGTGTAGGCAGTACTCTTGGCAAGTCCTGAACATGACTTAGATGACTGGGGTGTAACTGTGGCTGTGGACGGGGTGGCTGTTGACGGGGTGGCTGTTGACGGGGTGGCTGTTGACGGGGTGGCTGTTGACGGGGTGGTTGTCTCTGAAGCATAAAGTACACACTACATTCTCATGACACACACACTCATTCACATACCTCGTCTCTCACTCACTCACACATCTCTCCTCTCACACACACTCTCTATTCACCTCATCTCTTTTACTAACTCACACATCTCTTCTCTCTCATAAACTCACTCCATTCATTTCACTTCGTTCACTCACTCACTCATCCCTTCTCTCTCTAACACACTCTCTCTATTCATCTCATCTCGCTCACTCACTCACTCATCTCTTCTCTCTCACACATCTCTTCTCTCACACACTCTCCATTCATCTCATCTCGCTCACTCACTCACTCATCTCTTCTCTCACACACTCTCCATTCACCTCATCTCGCTCACCCACTCATCTCTTCTTTCACACACTCTCCATTCATCTCATCTCGTTCACTCACTCACACATCTCTTCTCTCTCACACATATCTTCTCTTTTCTCTCACACATCTCTTCTCTCTCAATCATCTCTTCTCTTATCTCTCACACATCCGTCTCCTCTCTTTTACTCACACATCTCTTCTTATCTGTTAATTTACTCACTTACCCCGTCACTCACACATTCACTCACACACACATCTCATCTCTTTTACTCACTGACACATCTCATCTCATCCCCCTCACTCACACACAACTCATCTAATCTCATTCACTCACTCACTCGATCACTCACCCGCTAATCTCACCTCACCTCACCTCACCTCACCTCACCTGGTGCAGTTTCTATTGTTGACATCGTTTCATTGTGACAACATCGCAGGCTCCATGTCCCAGCATCGATGGCTTGAAAGTTTAGAATGACAAAGGCTAAAGTTGTCTCATTGCTGGACATGCAGTCCATCACATAGCCATCCCGATTACGTAGGCAGTGGCTTTTGTTTGCACACGTAAATACTATTTTCCCATCAGGCCCAATCAGGTTCGTTTCTGTTGCACCACAGTCACACAAAGCTCTGATGTAGGAAGCCGCGCCCTGCGCCACCGTCTCCTCCGTCTGTAGTTTTATATCAGCTGCAACTGAGAGGGAAAATACTTGTAATCGCTTAGAATTGTGTGTGTGTGTGTGTGTGCGCGCGTGCGCGCGTGCGCGCGTGCGCGCGTGTGAGTGCGAGAGAGCGAGAGAGTGCGATAGAGAGTGTACGGAGAGAGAGAGAGAGAGAGAGAGAGAGAGAGAGAGAGAGAGAGAGTCTCTGAAATGAACACATTTTACAGAAAGTGAGTGAGTTGGGTTTAACGCCGCTTTTAACAGTGTTCAAGTTATATCGCGGCGTGTCAGATTAATGTGGGAGGAAAGGCCGAAGTGATGCAGGTCTCAGACGTTTACCACTTCAGTGTAACCCACGAGGTGGGGAGAATGGCGTTACAGGTGTGTTTTAATTGAGTTTCGGCGTCGTCACGTGACATTTTTCAATATCGCCTTGGTCTTAGTCAAGCTCGCAATTTTGCGACAAGTAGAAGAGAAGAAGAGTCAGAGAGTCGGAGATCCGGGGTAGCATCGTTCCTTAGCAGCCTAAAAAGGCGACTAGTCGTAAGTGGCGTGGGGCATGCAGCCATGCTCCGTGTGTCGTGTTTTACAGTGGAATCTCATTTACCCCGGTCACTGCCTCGCGTGGTTTTCCTGTGACTATTTCGTGATTCTGTTTAAAGCGACACGTACGTGGTTTGCGGGTTCAAGTATGTGCTTGTTTCTGTTTCAATTTAGAGTCGATATTCGACTTTCTCTTGTCAGCAGTTCTATATTACATATGTATATGTTACAGGAAATATGTATAATCAGGGAATATGTGTACAGTACAGTACAGTAGGGTACAGTACAGTACAGAATTACCTCACATTTTCAAGATGGAGTTAGAGGAGAATTTCCGAAAAAACCTGTACAAGAGCTATTGTTTGTTAAGTCTATCCTATGTTTAATGTAGCATTGTTTTGATTACAGTGAAGACTAAGTGTTAAGTTGATTGAAAGGTAATTGTTATCATGTCAAATAAATTTGTCTTCTGATAAATAATTTGGCTTTGTTATCAAGTTTGATTATATAAGAGCCTCAAAAGTAATATCAGGGAATATGTATAATACCTGAAAATTTTAGGGATTATGTATAATCCCTAAGTGAAACAAACATTAAATATATATCCTCTTAAAATTTCAGGGATTATACATATTCCCTGATTATACGTTGTTGTTGTTGTTGCATTAGGTGTTTAAGAGGTCGCCTTCTGCCTAGGCAATTTCGGCTGACCTGTCCCTCTTTGGGACTCCTGTGTGTGAGTAGGGTTGCATGTCTATGACAGATGTCTATGACAGATAGCGTATCTAAATGCAATTCTTGTTTTAACCTAGCCCGGGCTGGGGCATTGTCTTGACATTCTAGTAACACGTGATCAATGGTTTCAGCCTGATTGCAAGTTGAACAAACCTTGTCATAGTGCTTTTTGTGACCGAGTCTGAGGCGTGAGATAGCAATTTCAATTTTCCTTTCATTTGAGTATGAGTTTGGCTTTTGTCCTGATATATATACGTGACCCCATTGGGAAACCATACCGTGTGTTTTAGATATATGAAAGCTCTTGGAAATGTGCATTTAACGGTATCATAAGAAGTAATCAAAAACTACCAAACGAATGACCTAATAGCCATTTAAACGCGCTGTCCTACTTACCCCCGACTATCATCACCAGGCCCAGCACATAGAGGGAACAGGAGATTATTGCCATGCTGCAAGTATCGTGGTTATCGTGAAATCTGTTCTCTGAGGCACAAATGTTTAACGAGAGATACAACACACGGGAAACTTCCAATAATAGATGATACGTCATGTGTGAAAATCCGGGTTTTTCCATGTATTTTTAGCCACACGTATCAGTGGGTGTGAAATTGCAGTCGTGTGTCCTCGTTTGGTGTTGACATTAAATACTGTAGGTACCCTCGCCGGCTACAAACCTCTTAATGTACGGTCTTAGGTCTTCAAATTTGAAGAGAGATAAAATATCCGGGATTTTCCATGTATTTTTAGCCACACGTGTCAGTGGGTGTGAAATTGCAGTCGTGTGTCCTCGTTTGGTGTTGACATTAAATACTGTAGGTACCCTCGCCGGCTACAAACCTCTTAATGTACGGTCTTAGGTCTTCAAATTACCTCTTCAAAAACAATAAATGTCCTTTATCCCCCATACCCACTCCCAATTCAGAGTGAGTGAATGAGTTTGTTTTTACGCCGCTTTTAAAAATATCACGGCGGGGAACACCAGAAAGGGGCTTCACATATTGTACCCACGTGGGGAATCTAACCCGGATCTTCTGCGTGACGAGCGAACGCTTTAACCACTTGGCTACCCGACCGGCCCCCATTCAGAGACAACGTGATCAGTCTCGTGAGTAGTTCAATGGTGCGAATAATGGCAACTGGCAATTACGTTTGTTTGTTTGTTTGTTGTTTAACGCCGCACTCAGCAATATTCCAACTAAATGACGGCGGTCTGAAAATAATCGACTGGACCAGTTAAACCAGTGATTGACATCGTGAGCATCGACCCACGCAATTGGGATACGATGACATGCATCAACCATGTTTTTCCTCAATCTTGTCAGTCACATTGGTGTTAAAAGGGACAGAAAATTATGAGATTATGTCCCACATCCCTGGCGCGTTTGCGAAAACTGTGGAATGCCTTGTTTTCATCACGAGTCTTGACATGCTTCATCATGGATCATCAGACAAATAAATGTGTGCAAAAGTGCACAACACAATTCTATCACGAAGAGCCTCCACATTAATCAAACCACGCCTCCCATTATGACTAGTAAACATAAGCGATTGAGGGAAGACCGAGGGTGGTGGGATCTATTGTCTGACATGATTCTTCGTGTAAGGGTGTCAATACCCCTGAATTTCTTGTTTCGTCCAATCAACGATTATTATTAATCGACTCGATTATTTACAGACCGCATTGGCCGTCACATAGCTGGAATAGTGCTGAGTGCGGCGTTAAACAACAAACAACCAACCAACTATGAGACGGTGGGCACGATGAAGCTGCTTCATTGGAAACCTTCACAACAGCGGAACAAAATAGTCAAGGAGGAGGTTACTGGTTGATGCAGCTTGAGAAGATGTGCAGACGAGCAGTCGACTCCAGCTTGCAGATCGTTAGACAACTCAGGAAAGCCTGCACAAGGTTGCACAGGGCTTGCAGCACTATGAAAAGCCATACAATGATATACAAGGCGCTATATACAAGGCTATACAAGGTGGGGGTGGTGTCCGCTACAGAGACAGGTGAATCAGACCACGCACCCGGTACTCGTGTGTTTGTTGATGAACAGAGATCACGTCACAACCAGGGACCTACGGGTTTGGAATGTTGTAGGTAGGTCGAGGTGATCCCTGCCAGACAAGAACTTATTACGTGTCTAGTGTATAATGTTGTCAAACTTATAGATTATAAGTGTATCAGAGTACGCTTAGAGTAGTATTTCTTATATAATCCAGTGTGAGAGACTGAATTTTCTGAAGCTGAAAAAAGTGACATTTTTATTGCAGTGAGCAAAACACTTGAAATTTCACTGCAGTGAACATAACACTTGAATTTTCACTGCAGTGAACATAACACTTGAATTTTCACTGCAGTGAACATAACACTTGAATTTTCACTGCAGTGAACATAACACTTGTATTTTCACTGCAGTGAACATAACACTTTGACGGAACTTGTCATACCGCTTCTCAAATTGTCTCCCTTTACCATAAGTGTCAAGTCCCAACACAAACGTCCTTTTTACGTTAGTTTCAAATTGACAAGGCAAATAATGACAGATGGTCATTTATGGGGTTAATACCATTTGTTATTCTCTTGAAAATGTTTCGTTATAAACTGTAAATTTCTCATTTAACTTGTCAATCGAGAATGTTCGTTTCGCAAAGTGCCTTTTTTTGTGACTTGACCAGCGTGTATTCCTCCGCTTCTAACATAGGGCTCGTAGCTTTCAAGAATATTTTTTTGAAGTTGATTTTGCATATAAACATATCCAAATGTATGATAAAGAATTTTCGTGACCCTTAAATATTTTTTGAAACTTTTGTTTATATCGAAACAACTTTTTAAGTCTCCATTACAAGAGATGGTGAAACGTCCCTGCGTGTTAGGTAGGGAGAATTTACGTTTCAAGGTTTTACATTTGTAAGGAAAAAAAGGAAATTCCGGTTGAAACCTACACAAAAAGTATATAATAAATAAGTTATCCCATGTGTCTCGTGAAATATCATGTTTCTCTCATCTCGTGACGGGGGAAAGGAGATATTTCACTCGACACATGAAATATCCTCTATACAGTAATGCAGTAAGTCAATACAAACACAATCAGACAAGCAGAATGACATGTCAGGCTTAACCTATATAACGTAACGTACCGTCCCATTGTGGTACACGGGGAATATTAGCAAAACACATGACTTCATGAATGTGTATATAAAGATAGCCTACAGAGTGTTCACTGTAATAAGATCACTGGTAATCTATATCTGAAGCTTTCACGTAAAGCTACGCGTACGTGTACCATATCACGGCAGGGTGGCACGATATATAGATTATCTCTTTATATAGTTGTCCTATCAGTTGATTATATCATTTCGATCCCAACCGCACGTGGACAGATCCCCAGTCCGGTGTCTGACAGCCACATTGCAGGTAAATATTCTTCTGTCTACAAACTTGTCTCCAAATTGGTGTGCTCTTGACAGTTTTCTTGTATTAATTTAGTTCCGTGAATAGGTAATCCTTTAAACACTGGATGTCAGACACTAAATACTTTGTTAGACAGTCACAGTCTGCATTCTAAGAGTTATACAATATTTCACCTTGTCGTTAAACAAAACATATATCCTTGAAGGATAAAAAAAGTTAGTATTTACTCGTCTTACTGAGTACCCCATACCCTTATCAACGTCGTACCAAGTACCCGCATAAAGTTTACCTCCCGCACCAAGTACCCGCATAAACTTTACCCCCCGCACCAACTTCCCGCATAAATTTTACCTCCCTTACCCTCTACCCGCATCAACTTTACATCCCGCACCCTCTACCCGCATCAACTTTACCTCCCGCACCCAGTACCCGCACCCAGTACCCGCATAAACTTTACCTCCCGCACTAAGTACCCACATAAACTTTACCTCCCTTACCCTCTACCCGCATAAACTTTACCTCCCGCACTAAGTACCCTCATAAATTACACCCCTCGCACCCTGCACCCGCATAAACTGTACCTCCCGCCACCAATACCCGCATACATTTTACCTCCCGCATCCTCTACCCGCATAAACTTTACCTAGCTTACCCTCTACCCGCATAAACTTTACCTCCCGCACCAAGTACCCTCATAAATTACACCCCTCGCACCCTGCACCCGCATAAACTGTACCTCCCGCCACCAATACCCGCATACATTTTACCTCCCGCATCCTCTACCCGCATAAACTTTACCTAGCTTACCCTCTACCCGCATAAACTTTACCTCCCGCACCCAGGACTCGCATACATATTATCTCCCTTACCCTCTACCCGCATAAACTGTACCCCCCCCCCCCCCCCTCAACCACTGAGTGTACATACAGTAGCGACCCACATGTTAAATCAGTAAAGTTGTACATCAGTATATGTTACGGGTAGGTTAGTTCCATCTTTTCCTACACATTTGTTTAATGTATGCGTGCTATCAAGTTTTTGTCAAGTTTTATTTTCATTAATAAGGTAAACGGAGACACCATGGCTGCAGAACGGGGGAAGATGCCTGCTGCAGATGAGAAGTGCATCCAGACACATATAATGGACATAGAGGTGGAGCTGGACGCCAAGGACATCACTGGAACTCTCTACTCCAAGAACGTCATCGACCTGAAGGACATGCAACACATCGAGTCTGGAGCCACCCGAGCTGACAGAACCAAGAGACTCCTGGATATCCTCATGTTCAGAGGTACCAATTCCTTCAGTGTCTTCTTGTATGCACTCGACACTATGGGATACAAGGACCTTGTGCAGAAGCTACGAACCACCAAGGAGTCCAATAGTCTGACTTCATCATTACAGAGAAGACATGCTGAAACACAGCTTGCTAGAGAGTTCACTGATCTGAACAAGCGTATTGAGACTATCATGGGAGCCTTAGATAGACAGGCGCGTAGGATTGATGAAATGTTTGAGTCAAAGGAAAGCTATGCAACGAAAGAAGAACTCGAGGGTTTGAGGCTGGAATTGGCAACCAAGGAAGAATTGCAAACCTTTCGGGAAGAAATATCAGCATCAATGGCGAATCTGACAACAACGTTGAACAACATCAAGGAGATGTCTCACGTGAAGGATGACAATCTGGTCACGATTCAGTCACTAAAAGAACAAGTTCGAAAAAAAGATGAACTGCTTGAAATGGCTCGAAGTCAAATCGCTGACCTTCAGACAAAGGTTTCAAATCTGGAGGAAGAAAACAGATGCCTTAGAAAGACCATTCAGCAACAGCAAGGGGATATCGCAAACTTGGAGGCGGTGGTCCAAGAGGAAATATTCGAGCGCAGGACAGCAGAAGCACGGTATCGCAGAGACATTGCGGACATTCAGAAGAGGAGAAACGAAGACCTGCAGCAGATGGAGATGAAGAGAGAAGAAGACAGAAGAAGACGGGAGAGCGAAAGACGAGAAGATCGACAGCAAATTGAAGAGTTGAAGGAAAATATTGAGAATCAACTCAAGACCATCAGTCAGGCAAATACCGGTCGTGCGCAGACAGCTGGAACCGCTGTCTATGGTGTCAGGAAACCCATCCACCGTAGAAACGCCTGGAATTGAGACTGTAGCCAGTGCCATTGTCTGTGTGATACTCTCGTTCATGATGTCCATACAATGTAAGCTTCCAACTTGAGTCAGTTAAACTGTTGTGACTTCTGTGGCTTCCGATGAGACACACGCACCCGTTAAGTCTGATATGATTATTGCACTTTTCTCATTATTCGTGTGTGTGTTGCACTGACAGAAATAGTTAGTAAAGTTTACTTACTTACTTGGTGAATTTAACTGTCTACTAAGACACTAACTTGTTAAATTTTACTAACCAGTAAGTAACTTTTTGCTAATTAGACTAGTATAGGTGGCCTATCGTAGACTAGTACAATTTACTTATCAGTTGGTAGAGATTACTATCCAAGAATCTCCTTCTCATAATTTTCTAACTGCAATAGTATCTTTACTAGTTTTACTAGATTTTACTAAAGGCTCGTATGTTGATCATTTTGCGTTCCCTGAATTTGCCCCCAAAACAAGTAAATAGCATAAACAATACAGGAGAATGATTATCAGTGGCAATTGTAAGTTTATTTACACAGTGCTACGAAAATGTAATTGACGGGTAAATAAACTAAACTAGTAGTGTTTCACACTGGGAAACTTAACAAAACCTCCCTTCTCCCTTCTTTATTGAGTACATGCTCATGCTAAGCTCTTAGTTCGTCTCTCTCTCTCTCTCTCTCTCTCTCTCTCTCGCTCTCTCTCTCTCCTCTCTCTCTCTTTCTCTCTCCCTGTGTCTGTAATTGACGTTCCGTGTGGATATGGATTTCTTGAATCTGTAGATTTACATCTGTTGTATGTACCTGCTGTGAAGAATTAGATTTCATGTGTGAATAAAGGCTTGGCTACACTCTGGACACCTGTAATCTCGAAGACACTTTGTTTTAGTTTTGGTTAAAACTAAGTTCTTCATCACTACTTATCAACTAATACATATTGATGTTGTGGGTATATGCACTTGCACTCACGCTTAACACTGTCCACAACAAGTGGGTATGATACGATTTCCGAACGTTTGTTGTGTGCCTGAAACGCTGATATATGTGAACGCATATCCCGGCATATTGTATTAATTTCCTAGAGCTCGTTTCGTGACGGCGGTTTGTAAACAATCGGGCCTTGTCCCGATAACGCAGTCACATGGATTGCATATTACTGAGCACTGGGTTACAACAAAAACCAACATATCGTGATCAGTCCTTTGAACATGTATGGCCTGGTGCCAATAGACCACGTTATCTCGTTGTATCAACAGACTTAAGTTATTCAAGTACGTTATGTAACACGCATATATCTGGCGCTAGGAATAGCGCCACGACCATGTAGCTAACCTGACACAAACATGGCAGTATACAAATATTACTTGTTCACATGTTCACATGCTTTGTTTGTTTGTTTTGTTTCTTGTTTAGCGTCGCACTCAGCAATATTCCAGCTATATGACGACGATCTGTAAATAATCGAGTCTGGACCAGACAATCCAGTGATGGACATCATGCGCATCGATCCACGCATTTGGGCTACGATGACATTCATCAACCAAATCAACGAGCCTGACCATCCGATCCTGTTAGTCGCCTTTTACAGCAAGCATGGGTTTCTGAAGACCTACTTTACCCCGGATCTCTATGGATCCGCTTCTTCTTTAGTTGGTCCACTTCTTCAGCAGCCGTCCAACAGCTAAACAATTATTAATATCAGCATGGACCGTTAGCTTTAACGTCAGTGAATATCGCACCATAAATAATGCACAGAAGATTCAGCTTCTTTGTTTTTGGAAAATGTCTGATTGGCCTATCCGAATTATTCTAGTTTAAGCGATGCCGGCGACCTAGAGTCTTATCGCTGGGGATGTAATAATGTTATAAGAGGTGTTTGAGGGCCTGGTCAAAATGCAATTGTAAAATCAATACAAGGTATCAATAAACGGAAACACACGTACTACATCGCAACGTTCACTGCGTTCTGACAACGTTCACCGCGTTCTGACAACGTTCACTGCGTTCTGACAACGTTCACTGCGTTCTGACAACGTTCACCGCGTTCTGACAACGTTCATTGCGTTCTGACAACGTTCACCGCTTTCTGTACAACGTTCATTGCGTTCTGACAACGTTCACTGCGTTCTGACAACGTTCACCGCGTTCTGACAACGTTCACCGCGTTCTGACAACGTTCACTGCGTTCTGACAAACCGAATGACGAATGAATGGACGCATACTAGCGCAGACAGCTGACAGCTGATAGAGCTTCACGCAAACCTGGATTAGCTCCAGCGATTTGGTGATGTTTTTTTCACCTGGCTCAGGTGAGCCACATATCCAAACTCTACTTCCCTCTTTGCGTGTATAGCAAATTAACAATGCAGATTATTACGGTGGCGCAATAGTATTCAAAGGGTAGCCGAGCATTGAGAAACAAACAAACGTTTCACGCCACTCTGAGATCATCGCAGTCGGTACACCTACCAGCACAGTCGATACACCTACCAGCACAGTCTATACACCTACCAGCACAATCGATACACCTACCAGCACAGTCTATACACCTACCAGCACAGTAGGTACACCTACCAGCACAGTCGGTACACCTACCAGCACAGTCTATACACCTACCAGCACAGTCGATACACCTACCAGCACAGTCGGTACACCTACAGTCGGTACACCTACCAGCACAGTCGGTACACCTACCAGCACAGTCGGTACACCTACCACCACAGTCTATACACCTACCAGCACAGTCGATACACCTACCACCACAGTCGGTACACCTACCAGCACAGTCTATACACCTACCAGCACAGTCTATACACCTACCAGCACAGTCTATACACCTACCAGCACAGTCGATACACCTACCACCACAGTCGGTACACCTACCAGCACAGTAGGTACACCTACCAGCACAGTCGATACACCTGCCAGCACAGTCGGTACACCTACCACCACAGTCGGTACACCTACCAGCACAGTCGGTACACCTACCAGCACAGTCGGTACACCTACCACCACAGTCTATACACCTACCAGCACAGTCGATACACCTACCACCACAGTCGGTACACCTACCAGCACAGTCTATACACCTACCAGCACAGTCTATACACCTACCAGCACAGTCTATACACCTACCAGCACAGTCGATACACCTACCACCACAGTCGGTACACCTACCAGCACAGTAGGTACACCTACCAGCACAGTCGATACACCTGCCAGCACAGTCGGTACACCTACCACCACAGTCGGTACACCTACCAGCACAGTCGGTACACCTACCAGCACAGTCGGTACACCTACCACCACAGTCTATACACCTACCAGCACAGTCGATACACCTACCACCACAGTCGGTACACCTACCAGCACAGTCTATACACCTACCAGCACAGTCTATACACCTACCAGCACAGTCTATACACCTACCAGCACAGTCGATACACCTACCACCACAGTCGGTACACCTACCAGCACAGTAGGTACACCTACCAGCACAGTCGATACACCTGCCAGCACAGTCGGTACACCTACCACCACAGTCGGTACACCTACCAGCACAGTCGGTACACCTACCAGCACAGTCGGTACACCTACCACCACAGTCTATACACCTACCAGCACAGTCGATACACCTACCACCACAGTCGGTACACCTACCAGCACAGTCTATACACCTACCAGCACAGTCTATACACCTACCAGCACAGTCTATACACCTACCAGCACAGTCGATACACCTACCACCACAGTCGGTACACCTACCAGCACAGTAGGTACACCTACCAGCACAGTCGATACACCTGCCAGCACAGTCGGTACACCTACCACCACAGTCGGTACACCTACCAGCACAGTCGGTACACCTACCAGCACGGTCTATACACCTACCAGCACGGTCTATACACCTACCAGCACAGTCGGTACACCTACCAGCACAGTCGGTACACCTACCAGCACAGTCGGTACACCTACCAGCACAGTCGGTACACCTACCAGCACAGTCGATACACCTACCAGCACAGTCGATACACCTACCAGCACAGTCGATACACCTACCAGCATAGTCGTGGGGTGTTAGTATGACGTCACTGCCTTATGCACCCGGGAATAACACATTATAACTCATTATGATAATAAATAAGGCGACAAAACCTTTCCATATCCAGAAATCTGTACATACAGCAGAGTCGAGACACGCTTCCGAGTTTTTTTATGAGCATGTGTTTATGAATCACTATTAAATAGTAATGACATGTTTGTTCAGAACAAACAACGAAATGCATAAAACAGAACAAATTGAATCAAGCTGTTCTAATTCGATTACCGACCTTGGTGACCCGTGAAGATCCGGGGAAGAATGGACAAATTCATGCTTGTCGTAAAAGGCGACTCACGGGATCGGGTGGGTCAGGCTCGCTGACTTGGTTGATACATGTCATCGTTTCCCAATTGCATGGATTGAAGCTCGTGATGTCAATCACTGGATTGTCTGGTCCAGACTCGATTATTTAAAGACCACTGTCATATAGCTGGAATATTGCGGAGAGTGGCGTTAAATAACAACTAAACAAATAAACAAACCGACATTGGTCCTGTTCGAATCATGAAGTGGTTTGTTTGTATACACCGTCAACCGGACAGCTCTTGTTTGGGGGTACCTCGCTACTATCACAGCTGGGTACTTAAGCAGTATCTCTTGTGGTTTTAAACCTATTTCGGACATTGGTCAACAACTATCTTGAATCGGTTTCTTGTATAAAGTTCGAGAATTGACATTTCGACACAACACTGACACAGGCCTCACGAACGAAAGTAGGAAAGATTTGAGAAATACCACAGCAGGATTTCCCAGGCGGACACCCACCAAGTACTGTCCCCGCCCATATGTGATTCACTTCGCTCAGCGGATGTGCTTTCACAGCTTTTGCCTCATTTTAAACGCGACTATCAAAACAAAATATGAGCAATGAGTTTGAGAGAGTGAATCATTTACGGGACAGCCGGTATGGCCAAAACCGGTGTGTCGGGAGCTCTGGCTCGGTCAGAGACGGGAACGCCGACCCCCAACTGCCAACAACACACTCACTTAGAAAATAGTCTAGTGAATTCTACTAACTTAATTAGTAACAGCGGCCAGAAGGGTAGTAGGTCAATTTACTATCCTGCCTGGTAGATTTCACGAAGATGCTGAAGATTAGTAAATATCACTTATTAAATTAGTTTAATCCACTACTTTAACCACATTGTAAAACATGTTTTAAGAATGTTAACATATACAAGACATGTTTAGGAATGTGTTTCAACCCTAAACGATATACATTTGGTGTGTTCTATCTAAACGCGTTTAGGGTCTAAACAGATGAAATGAACTATCGCCTCATTTCCTAAACATCACCTTAACATGTTTAGAATTTATTAATAAAGTGCATATCATGAGGTTATAAGTCGAAAATGGATGAGAAGTATATATATTGACATTGAATGTGCAAATATATATGAAATAGCATATACGAAACGAACCTGGAAAATAGTAACAGAAACAAAACAAATAAACCAAGCAAACGGTGACCAGGAAATCAGCAGTTGTTACGACAACAGTCTCAGCAGCACAGGGGGTAGCGTGACGGACTATACATCGTGAGGTTGTAGGTTCGAATCCCACCGAGGTGTAAAATGATTTGTGTTCTCATCAATGTTTTGTTGCTGGATGCCAAATAGAACATATTTCACACCGGAAGCTGACAATTAAAGTATATCTGGTTACTACTTAAACTTTTAGTTTGTGACGATTGGCCACCAAGTAAAAGAAAAGTCTGCTAACATTTAAGTGTCTGAGGGAACAGTGCAATTCACTGACTATGTGAGTAAACTTTACAAACTATTTCTGTCAGTGCTGTAGCTTGTATATCACGTGACTGTTGTTGATGTTGCAAGGGTAGATACGGTCGAGGTAGATGCAGGTCACACCAAACATATCACGGAACATCGCTAGTATTCTTGAAGTTGTAATGCATTCTAATCCCATAAACCACTGCGTGAACACGTGGCCGACCACCCGGGAACAACAACTGTCAGCGGTGGTCAGTCACGTGGACATTCCCAGATCGCTGTCACACTGTCGACCATCTTCATGGGCCATTCTCTGAAACTATTTCCAACAATCACGAGACAGCAGGACACGATATTGAAACATGTTACTGTGTTAGACAAAACTTAAAGTTTGACAACTGTAAGGAAAATATATTACATTATCTGGATGAGACGTGTAACTTAGCAACATAATCCAGGGGATAATTGTTATGATTCTTCATTAATGTAGGTCGTAATTGCAATTAAGGATTTGTTTTCACTGATTTTCATATTAAAAATATTTCAAGATATTCGGTAACTACAAATATATCATATAGGTAAACATTCAGTTTCTAAAAAGAACCTGAACTATTTTGATGTAATACACAACAAGCAAGCTTCAATAGGTCAGTTATTCGTATTACTTAACTTGTTACCGTCTATATATATATGTGTGTGTGTGACTACAGCATACACTTGAGGGTGTGGCCTGGTTTGGCGCGTTGTAAACCATGTGCTCACTAGGTCGTGAAGTCGCTACATTCATTCTTAATCTTCCCAGCCCATCAGTGGCCGTCTAACACAGGGAGCAGTGTCAGGTGTCTTGTTAGCCCGGTAATAGTGTGATTGATTGTCTTTACCTCAGTGTATATGTTGGACTACCACACATGAGTGTGACTGCTATCTTGGCTGAAGGTACGTTGCAAGTGCTACTATAGTGCTGAACTTTTCAGTTTGAATCACATCTTATTAACAACACCAAGTATCAAAGTAACTTGTACGTCTGGGGCAGATATTTAGGGGCTAAACCTACTGTGTCCTGACATTTAAGGTAGTCTAACTGTATTTTAATTTCGAACTGAGCGCTTTATGTAATGTATAAATAAAAAGCATCTGATCTACGGCTAGACAACCTCGAACTTCAAAACACAGTAGGCTTATCTCCTCTCAACCATGGCGATACAAGAACGCATTGAAAACGGTACGTTTTGGACGCGTAATCACATATGGTAATTATTGATTAGTTCACACGACAACCTCCCAATTGTCGGACAGCTTATTCCAGGAGTAGTCAAGGCTGGTTAGTCAAGCAATAGTTACCTGTTTACCTTTCATTGAAGTAGAACAGACCAGAATACAGACATTTGGAGGAATTTACAGGAGAGGTTTATCACGCTCTTTTAATCATCAACTCATACGAGAAACCACCCATTTTGACACATTCACCAGAAATCACATATTTGAATTATTTACAGGATATATGTATTCAGTTTTAATGTGGAACATTTTCACTATAACCATGCATACAGCAGACGGTAATGTTATCACTTTACATAAGAATTAATAGTATAACATTTCTAGAAAGACTCTATATACACAATATACACTGAAACGTGTGATATCACACATTTTGAAGTATTGATACACTTGTGTTGATATGATTTCATTTTGACTTTTGGCTGCTCTGTTTATATAAGTTCGAGTAGCTGTCCATCTGTCAGAAATTGAGATAGGTTGGCCCCGGTATTGCATCTCTTGGCTACAGGAGAGATCTACAGTTAGCGGATCTAACGGCAATTCTTGTTTTAACCGAGCCCGGGCTGGGACAATGTCTTAAGATTCCAGTAACAAGTGAGCAATGGATTCAGGTTGATTGCATACATGGTCATAGTGCTTGTTGTGAATTCCTCAAAGCAAGTATATAGTACATGTGAGATTATACTCAGGTCATTAAACTCAGGTCATGGAGAAGTTTAATCTATATAACGTGTTCTTATTCTACCTAAAAATGTATTTAATGAAAAGAATGCAAAACAAACTCAACGCTTATAAGGTTTTTATTAATCTTCACTGAGTTTCCTATATTCTATATTTCCATAGCGACTGATTTACGACTACCATTGTCTGAAGTACATTTGACTCCAAAGGCAAATTACCCTGTAGCCATGTCTCCATAACTTAATTGTCATTACGTTTTAGGCGCTAATCCCCGTTGTTAATCCTCACCAACATTTCATTGTATATTGACTGACAGCCAACCTGGGCTACCTTATCACTTCCCGTTAATTACTGTTATTTATAGTATGACACGTATTAATTGTTGGGCTGCCAAATAAGTTGCTCACGGTGACGATGCCATTTTGAAATTGTACAAAAGAAGAGGACAACCCGGATCTGTAATTATTGCCAACATTAGCTCGATGAAACGGGCCGTGGCACAACCATTGCCCACGGAACCGGAAGTATGTTTAGTTGAAGACAAGCCGGTAATGCGTCACGAAACCTCCTCATGTGTCTGACACAGTGGTTCGTGTATATGTCACTTAATTGTATGTGTTCTGAAAATAGATTTGATCATGTTTGATAAGCTGTCATAACCAAGTGTTTGTGCAGTGTTCAGTCACTGACTACTCCCGGTAATACTCAACTATCCAATGTATACAGATCTAATCAGGAACTCTTTCTCACAGCTATAGCTGAACCTCTCCATGTGGAGGGTCACACCAGGTTAAGGATTAGTAAGCACAGAAGTCATGTTATGTTAAAGGTCACTAAACAATGAATCCATAGTGAAGTGTGCCGTGGTGTGCTCGTCTTGTTTGACGCTGCTGGGCTGGTGAAGAAGAAATTTGGCGTGCCCCATCCTTCTTATGATGGTTGTGTTTCAATGGTTCTGATTTGTTTATAATAAGAAAATGCTACAACTGATGAAGCAAGATCATCTTCTTAAGTTAATGCAGCTCAGAAGGCTGCGAATGATAACTATGAGTAGTTTAGTCAAGATCTCATCATCTACCGTTATCTGTGGACGATGTTGATAAAACTGTTGATCTGAATGTGGTTTTAGCGTAGGAGTGTGGTTCGCCATAATAAATAAGGAATATTGAACAGACTAAACCTTAGAAATCTAACTTCTTAAGATAATGTTCTTATGGCCCATCATCATTACCATCATCATCATTTATTCACAAAGTATAGGCCTACGGTGCTACAGCCAATCTTTAACATTTCTTTTCTCAAATTATAAGCCTAGAAAATAAACATTCCAATTATTTTGCAAAGTATTCAAGTTGTTATCAGACATTAACATTTCTTTTCTTTTTTTTTGGGGGGGGGGGGGGGGGGGGGGGTCATCAAATTACGATGTCACTGGTGTCCTAAGAAAAATGCTTCTTTGGCTTCTTGGCAAGTGTAGCGTCTGTGTATTTCATCATTCTCGTCACCTTTTAGATACACTGATACACCATGGCTGCAGAACGGGGGAAGATGCCTGCTGCAGATGAGAAGTGCATCCAGACACATATAATGGACATAGAGGTGGAGCTGGACGCCAAGGACATCACGGGAACTCTCTACTCCAAGAACGTCATCGACCTGGACGACATGAAACACATCGACGCAGGCACAACCAGAGTTGAGAGAACAAACCGGTTCCTAGATATCCTCATGTCAAGAGGTACAGAGGCATTTCCGGTCTTCTTGCATGGACTCGAAGTTATGGGGTACAAGGACCTTCACATGAAACTCACAGCTACAAAGGATTCCATCAAACCGATTATAAAACAACCTTCTGAAGCACAATTTAGAAGCCAGTTCCGGGTCCTGCATCAGTACATCGAGAGGGTTGTGGCAGAGGTGGATACACGGGCTTCCAAGATGGATCTGATATTTGAATCAAAACGAAAATATGCCACGAAAGAAGAACTTAAAGTTTTGAGAAAAGATTTAGCTACCAAAGAGGAATTGATAGCATTTCGGGATGAAATAGCCAGGTCAGCTGCAAATGTGACAGAAACTCTGAACAACATATATAAAATGTTTGAGGAAAATGTAGACCAACAGACCTTGAAGGGTCAGAATGTAGGAAAGGATGACCTCGTGGCCACTGCTCAGACACACACTGACGAGCTGAGAGAAAAGGTTTCCTGTTTGGCAGAAGCAAGTAGAAAGCTGGAGAAGATCGTCAACCGCCACGACATAAATGATTTGAAATAAGTTATACAGAAATGAATATAAAAGAGAAAGAATGCTGAATCGCATTCTGAAAGCAACAGCGGGCAGATATGGTTCAGTCGAGGCCTGCCGGAAACGAAAAGAAGATATTGTAAGATTTTATAATATGTAATATGGAAATACCCATGCATGGAGCGTGGCAATAGTTTAATCAAGATCCTAAAGTAAATGAATTTCCAGTGGATTGAGTAAGTTGAGACACTCATGGGTCCTTACTGCCGGAGGTGAGGCAAAAATTCGTGGTGCTTCCTTTGCATATTCCTGGTATATATTGATAACATTTCCATACGCGCTAGACAGAGGTCCCATACATACAGCAACACGTCGGCCACAGCCGAAGCAGACCCGGTGAAGTGTGGTATTAGTTAGTCGTTCATGGGGCTGGTGGTGATACACACTAGGCCCTAACCCGGGGTTCAGTGAAGTCAGATTAGGTTTTGCAACACAAGCTACTGCCATTGTTAGACAGGCCTACCAACTGGGACGTGGCAACACGGAGCTGTACCACAGTGTAGATGTCCCCCAGGTCGAGGTGTTGGAGTGTGACTGTAGTGGAGCAGTGCCACAGTGGAGATGTCCCCCAGGTCGAGGTGTTGGAGTGTGACTGTAGTGGAGCAGTGCCCGACATTGTGGCTACATGTGTTCTTGTATGTTTCACTGACTTTGTTGAAGCGGGATAAATGTATTGATCACAAATGCCAATGATAACATATGAAGTTCATGTAAGATCAGTGTTTTCCCGTTTTACTGTTATAGGTTATCAGGTTTCTGCGGCGACTAACAGGATCGGGTGGTCAGGCTCGCTAAATTGGTTGATGCATGTCATCGTATCCCAGTTGCGTGGATCGATGTCAATGATGTAAATTACTGGCTTGTCTGTTCCAGACTCGATTATTTATAGACCGCCGTCATATAGCTGGAATATTGCTTAGTGTGGCATTAAACAACAAACAAACAAATAAACATGAATTCACGAACATAAGCAGTTCCTCCATGTGTGTATATTTAGTTTTCTTCTGTTTCACTTTGTGTTAATGTCTGCCGCAACAAGGAGTCATATAGTCATAATTACTATCAATGTCAATCTTCATTACGTTTTGTGTCTCGTGTATGTCAATGTATCGACGGGAGGTAAATAAAAGCAACACCCTTTCCATATTCATGAGCAATCTCTGCCAAAAGCAGAGTCTATTGTACGATCCCGACTAGATCATGAGCATGTGTTTATGAATCAATATCAAATAGTGACGATACCAGGTGTTCGTGGAAAGGTGAGCGTATCCTGCCCCACCGATGGCACAGTCACAAACACATGCAAAGGCAAGTCAATTGTTTACCGGAAAACAACAACATGGGATCAAGTTAAAATATGGAATTGCATGGGACATCATTTTTGTCAGTTATCCGTCAGATTTGGAAATGTCAAAAACGTTTTGAAAGCTTTGCTGACGCCTTCAATGTTGTAACCTTGATAAAAGAACCTTTGAGTTAAATGACGCTCTTAGAAATCTTGGTAGAAAGAGCATGTTCGATTGCACCACAAAAGCTGACTGATTAGGAAATTATCAAGCGTGTTCATGTGACCTTGACCTTAACCTTTGTCCCTTAAAAACTTAGGTGCATGTTTGTAAATATAAGAGTTATATATCATTCAATCAATCACCCAAATCTGAACAAATCTGCCAGAATTCTTTATCCAAACAAGGTTAGAGGGATGTGATTGACCAACTCCCTGTGCAAGAACCTGACTTCAGTGATAAACACCAGATTGCAACACTGGTGCATTACTAGCAAAATTATAACAGGATCACAGGCTTGATTTAGACAAATTTATTCAACCATTGGCTTTATATTTACATTGCAAGCCATGATAAAGAAACATGAAGGTTTTATTTAATTTTAATTAACTTCTCAATAGTTGGTGATTCTATAAACCATGAAATATTGTTCGAACCTCTTAAACCTCTGTGTTAAAGGAACTTTCTTCAAGTTTGTTGTGAACATGTATTCATCACTACGTGTTTGTGTGAGAACTGATCACCGTTCTTCAAATGGAATATTGGGATCCGCCAACGGTGTACTCTGAGCCCCCAAATCTTCATCCTTGTCATCAACCAGCTTGGTACGATGTTGGGGGAGGAAGGTGGGACAGGTAATTTTATATGTCCTCATATTTCTAATGTGTTTGTATTATAATATACAGATGATGTATCATCTGTATCTGACAGACCCGTGAGGATCCGGGGTAGAATAGATCTTCAGCAACCCATGCTTGCCATAAAAGGCGACTATACTTGTCGTAAGAGGCGACTAACGGGATCGGGTGGTCAGGCTCGCTGACTTGATTGATGTATGTCATCGATCCCAATTACGTGGATCGATGCTCATGATGTCAATCCCTGGATTGTCTGGTCCAGACTCGATTATTTACAGACCGCCGTCATTTAGCTGGACTATTGCTGAGTGCGGCGTTAAACAACAAACAAACAAACTGTATCGGACACTGCTTCACAGTTTCAAGGGGAAATTTGTGTTTTAGAAAGTTTTTGGCGCAGAACCCTTAATGAAATTTTCAACTAAACAAAAATTATGGTATTTCAAATTCGGGTCCTGTGCATAAATGAAAAATTGTTGTCAACACGTACACATATGTTTTGGAAAATATCTGTTTACAACGAGTTGGCGGTGCACATGTTTTGCAAATCCTGCAATCGACCGAAATCTGCACGACAGTTTACGAACCGGATTTCGATTTCGTTGCGCGATTTTGATTGGACTATGCATAGACTCGTTAGTCCAGCCAAAATGTAACTCCATAATACCAGCAGAGTTCGGCAAGGGTGGAAACTGATAAGTCAGTTAACTCTCTTGCCTCGGGAAGATGAGGGCCTCCGTGCAGTATCACCAAACATTCAGAACAGTCAAGGGACCGATCTACATGTAGTAAATGATTATAACTCTTGATGATAATAGTAAACTTACACGGGCATCTCATATAAGACATATCTTGCTTAGATGTTTTTTTCATTTACAAGAATATGGCTGTCTCAAGACATTGGTTTCGTCTCATCAAGGCAATCTCCACACACAGATTTTAAGATTGCTTCTTTCAAATTGGCATCCATGAAGGACAGGACTATGGATGTAGACAGTTATCCCCAACCGAGACGAGAAACTCGCCATTCCTCTCAACAATCCAAAAACAACTGAAACCCTTGTAAGACTGACGTCAACCGACAATATCCATAATATTACATGTTTGTACTGAAGATAAGAAGCAAATCACCTGTCGCTGTAACCTAGAGTGTATTGTACGCCAGCCGCTTATTCAGGGTGTACATTTAATTATATTGTCCATCTTGTTTGTATTATAGGCCTCGGGCCTAAAGTACAGAATACAGTCTGCCTGTCCCTGGGTAAATTCAGACAAGAATTAGTCAGAGGGTGTCTGATGTAGTTCTGGGTGCGATCAGCACTCTGGATAAAAGGTCCTTGGTAACAAAATCTGGATGAAGAAGTAATAAAATCCTAGTGAATAAACACGCGAAGATGATGACGTGCAAGTACAAATGGATAAACAAAAACTATGGAATACTGTAAGGGACATTCTCGCGATCTCGACCTTTGGAAACGAGCTAAATATGACAAAAGTGCGAGAATGCGATATCACGAGAATGTCCCTTACAGTATTCCATAAAAACCAGGATTTTATACCATGTAGACTGGCACCTTGGTATCGGGAACTGAAGAGTAGCAGTGGAGCGTCGTGTTACCTACTTCTGTCGACAATGACGCTGTCGTGTGGTCCACGCTGTCGCTGCCATACACACAGCTGGGTAGTAGGTTATTAATGGTGACCATGTGGCAACACAGCCTCGCACACAATGAGTGAGAGTAAGTATAGCTTTTACCTATTTTCCTGCAATTTCACGACGGGGAACACCGGAAATGGGCTTCACACATTGTACCCATGTTGAGAATCGAACCCGGGTGTTTGGCGTGACGAGCGAAGGCTTTAACCACGAGGCTACCCGACCGCCCCTGGGATTGAGACCGAGAGACCTGGCATGGTTATATAGAGAAGAATGCCTTCGCATCCTCCTCGTATTGTATCACAGCTTTTGTGGACTCGTTATTATAATACAGAACAATACCCAAATATGTAAAACTTCAAATAAACCACTATTATGATACCGAGTTTTCTAATATTTTAATTTTAGGAATATAAATTATTCTAATCCCCACTTTTTCGAATAAGTTGATAGTGAAATCTTGTAGCCCATTACCAGTTTCAGGAGTGTGAGTGAGTGAGTTGGGTTTAACGCCACTTTTAACATAATTCCAGTTATATCACGGCGTTCCATTTTTAGGAAATATTACAAGGTCATCAGGATACATTAACAAAAACATACTAAGATACTGACATTCATAAATATAAATCGTCAACGCCAGAGACTAACCAGACTCGATTATCCCACCAAACCGATTTTATTGAGCGAAAAGGCAAAATAGCGGTGACAATTATGGGTGAGTGAGCGTTTGTGAGTGAGTGTTTTTAGGTGAAGGAGTTAGTGCGTGAGTGCGTGCGTGCGTGAGTGCGTGCGTGCGTGAGTGAGTGCCCTACATCACAGTCCGGAGCATCTCAGGGTCTCTTCGTTATTCTCATGTCGTATGACACTGATCTCTTTTTAAGAGATTAAAAGAAATCTGCTTTTCCTCATAAACCGCGACATCTGCAATAGTAATCATCTCATCAATTGTTGTAATTCTGGGGAAACACCCCTCACAGATACAGAGTTGAACTAAATAAAGATACAGTGTTGAAAGATATAAATATAACAGTGAGAGGCTGGAGTTAGTATTTCAATCCACAGTTAAGGTGGTGTATACCGGCGCCACGGTACACACAGACCATGCAGTGATACATTATACAGCAGAGATCAGAATTGTTGGAGTGTGTGAGTTGGGTTTACCGCCGCTTTTAACAGTATTCCAGTTATATCACGGCGTGTCAGCTTAATGTGGGAGGAAACCCGAAGTGATGCAGGTCTCAGACGTTTACCACATTGGTGAAACACTCGAGCACGGGTATGGTGCTGACAAACCTAGAAACATAATCGGGGCGAACCGAGATTTGAACCCTCAATCATAAGTTTCTGGCGTGCCCAAGGGACGCAACTCTGCCCAGCGAATCGTGGCGCCTTAGACGACTGGGCCACCCGTGCCCCCTCATAATTGTTGGACATGATAAACATGATAAACTTCCATTATAAACATAAAATCGATATCTTAGAATATGTTGATGTGACTTACCCAGGAACCCCTAATGAGTCGGTATGTACGCGATACAGGAAGTAAAGTCGCTGACACCGATG